ATTATGTATATGCATTTATTCAATGAATTATGTGTTGAACTATAAAAGCATAGCTATGCATCTCTGTTTAAGCAAAAGGAGGTAAATGCAGGGAACTCTGGTTTCTGAGAATGTAGGATCTGTGCCAAGAAGAGAATTCAGCTCTGGGGGTGTACAAGAGAACCAGGTGCTGTGTCGAAAGAGGATCTAACTGTGAACTGCAACATGACGAATTAGCTCAATTTCCAACGAGGAAAGATGACAGCCTAGACTTAATCCTGCCCTTCATAGTTAGTTAAAATCTACACGTGACTCTATGACTTAAAATGAGTTAATAAAACATAATGCAATAAATAGTAGACAGAGCCGCATATCCTGTGGCCAAGATTTGATGGAAATGGGAGTGAAGAGAGAGCCACTGGGTGAGAGACAAAAGGTATGACTGGAGAAAAAAAATTAATGGGATCTGTCTTCGTAAGCCTGACTCTCATCATGTCATGGAGTCAACAAGGCATAAGCTGGCTATACGCTCCTTCACGAAGCAAAAAGTGAAATTAAAGACATTCTACTACTTGAATTTCTATTCTTACATAAGACAACTGGTAATAAGCAACAAGACTGAAAACGAGTTTTCCTAAAATGTGATTTGCTGCTGGCATAAGGATAGACATAGCTCAATATATTAGAATTGAGAATCCAAAAACAAACCCACACTTTTATGGTCAACTGATTTTCAACATGGGTGTAAAAAATTAAATGAGAAAATGAATAGGATTTTTCAACAAATGGTGCTAAATAACTGTATATCCACATGCAAAAGAATAACGGTGGACTTTCACCAAATCTCATATCTAAAAGTAATAAAATAGAACCAGTAAATGTAAGAACTAAAACTATAAAATCTCTAGAAGAAAACATAGCCATAAGTCTGTGACTGTTAAAAAAAAAAAAAAATTTAACTGACTTCATCAAAATTCTAACTTCTGTGCTTGAACAGAGACCATCAAGAAAGGAAAAGGAGGCTGGGCATGGTGGCTTACAGCTGTAATCTCAACACTTTGGGAGGCTGAGGCTGGAGGATTGCTTGAGCTCAGGAGTTCAAAACCAGCCTGGGCAACATAGTGAGGTCTTCTTCTACAATTTAAAAATTATATAAATTTTAAAAACATAATAAATCATAAAAAAGAAAATAAAAAGGGAAGCCAAGGAAAATATTTGAAACATCTCTGATAAGGACTTACACCTAGGTACATAAAGAACTCTTAAAGTTCAGAAATTTAGACAACCCCAATTTTAATGTGGGCAAAGGATTTGAATAGACATTTCTCCAAAGAAGATATACAAATGGCTCATACAACATAGAAACGGGCTTAAAGTCATTCATTAGGAATGGTGTGAATCAAAACCACACTGATTTTGATCAATGTGGTATGAGGTACCACTTCATACCTCTAGGTTAAATCAATCAAAAATATGAAAAATATTGGCAAGGATGTGGAGAAATTAGAACCTCATACAATGCTGATGGGAATGTAAATGGTGCAACCACTTTGAAAGCAGACTGGCACAGCTCAAAAGGTTAAGGTAAAGAGTTGCCATATGACCCAGAAATTCAACTCATATGTATACACCCAAGAGAAAGGAACACATATGAAACACAAAATCCTGCACATAGAAGTTCACAGCAGCATGATTAGTAATAGCCAAAATATGGAAAGAATCCATGTCCGTCACCTGATGAATGGCTAAATAAAATGAGTGGTATGTCTATGCAGGAAAATTATTCAGCGATAAGGTGAAATTAAACACTGATACACGTTACAACACACAATGAACCTTAAAATGTTATGCTTAGTAGAAGCTAGTCATACAAAAAGACTACCACATATTGTGTAATCCAACTGATATGTAGTGTCCAGAGTGGGCTAATCTATGGAAACAAAACAGATTGCTGGCTCTTTTCAGGGTCATGAAAATATCCTACAGTTGATGATGGTGATGGTTACACACTCTGGGAATATACTAAGAGACCGAAGAATTGTACACGTTCAATGGGTAAACTGTATGGTATGAGAAGTATGTCTCAGTAAAATTGTTTTTAAAAATTCAGTGGTAGAATCTAGATACATCTCTTAATTCTGTACTTTGGATGTACATACTATACATGATTTGTAAAAAGCACAATATATTTAAATGAAAGGAAATGAAGGAAGTGCCTAACATTTCAAGTAGTTTGTAAATTAAAACATTTGCATTTTGAAGAACAGTACTATGGCCTTTCTGTACAAGTTATCCTGAAACTATGAAATAAATATACACAGATTCTGTACCCATTCACAAAAGTAAAGATAAGAAATAAGACAATTTTCTGGAACATTCTATTAAGCATTATCCTACAATTTAATCTGGCTTGCCTCACCATGGCAATAGAGAAATTACTAAAAAATACCACTTCACAGAAAAAAAAAAAAGTCTCTCAACTTCTGTGAGGAATACTGAATAATTCCTTAACTTTCTTAAGGATCTTTGGAAATGATCCTTATTTTTAAAAATGTATGTACTTAGAGGAGAAAAGACAGAATGAAAGCCAGAGGTTAAGAAACAAGTGCATTATAAAGATAATAAAATTATAATAAAATGAATTATAATAAAACATGTAAAAGAAAGTCATCCACTGCAATTAGTATCCTAAAACATTTGACATTATTTCACCACCTATAGATTAACTGTTGATATGTTTCATACATACTTCACTTCTCTGATTTGACCTACCTTCTTTGAATTGAGGTCTCATCTAAATTAATGTGACAACGGATGTAGCCTCTTCTGATGTAGGTTGTTGTTTTAGGGATCGGGGTCCATTCTGTTGAGTTGTCTCATAACTACCTGTGAAGGTATTTCTTTAATTGTTACTGATTTATAAATCACCTTATTATTAAATTATGGTAGTAAGATTTAACTCTAACATACATACCTTGAAAAATATCAACACATATATGGTTCAATTTCCTTATATGCACACATTCTTGTTTATTATAGAATTCAGTCAAGGACACAGAAGGTGTTATCCTCCTGCCAAATCAGTTTTCTGTTAACTTAGGCAATAGATTCAGCCCACTATTCACTTCTTCCTGAAACATCTGCAATGCTTAATAACCTACTGAAGCTCCAAAAAAGAAATCAGTTTGTGGGTGGGGGCTGTTGGTGGATATCCCACACTGTGAAATGTTTTCCTTTTTATTAAACAAAATCAACCTCAGAGTTCCTTTTGCATATTCAATTGCCTGCTCAGATCTTTCCAAAAGATTTTTATCTCAGAAACACAAGTAAAATTCCAATGGCCTTTTTGAGGCCCTAGGTAACCTGGCCTCTACCTCCCTCCCCTGACCTCAGCTCCTACAACTGTCTCACCTATTCAGTCCATTCGTGCTATATGTGGAATCCTGCCACCTCTCACAGTTTGGAAAATGGGACTCAATGCCAAACAAGTAAACTGCCAGATAGCCACAATTACCTCTGTACTGGTCAAAGTTATATCCGAATGATAGGTAGTGAGACTTGAAATGAAAATTATGAGCAAATTCTTTGTAAAAACATTCAAAGTAAATTATAAATACCAGTGGTAAGATTAAATCTAACATGGCTTTTCTGAAATTCACATCTGTCCCAAATTATGATTTAATAAAAAGTAAATGCCTTTAGGTGGGGGTGCAATGGCTCACGCCTGTAATCCCAGCACTTTGGGAGGCTGAGGCTGGTGGATCACCTGAGGTCAGGAGTTCAAGACCAGCCGGGTCAACATGGTGAAACCGTTTACTAAAAATACAAAAATTACAGTGCAAGACTCCATCTCAAAAAGAAAGAAAGAAAGAAAAGAAAGAAAGAAAGAAAGAAAGAAAGAAAGAAAGAAAGAAAGAAAGAAAGAAAGAAAGAAAGAAAGAAAGAAAAGTAAATGCCTTTAAAGAATTGAGAGGTCATAACAAGTAATTTGAGACTGAAATCGTCTCAGATTTAAGTCAAATTGATATGAATAAAAATAAGATTATACCAACTTAAATACATCACAAAACTACTGAAGGAAAAGTATTATGAGATACAGGAGTACACTTCAGTTCACCTGGGAAATCTGGAATTAACGGTCAAAGTAACCCTCCTCACCGAATCTTAATTTCAAAATACTCACGTCAAATATGAGCATTTCTGTTTATCTGCTTCATCATCGTCTTAAAACAGGGCCACATAAAGGCACTGCAATGATCATTTCAGCAGCATAAGACTACATTGTGAGTATTAGTCTGTACCTATAAACACTGCAACTGAACTTAAAATTTCATAGATGACACAATTTCTTTACTCAAAGTAAAGCATCTTTCAGGTTTAACTTCTTTTTTGCTGTACATTTCTAGGCTGATATAGCAAATACATTTATCATCTATATATTTTTATATTTAACTAGATACTGAGGGAAGAGAGAGACCCTCTCACATTGTTTTATATTGTTTCATACTCAGAAAAGGAAAGAGAAGCGAAATTAAAGGCAGGTAGCCCAGCACCTAGGAACCAGACCCGAAACCAGGCCTGGGCCTGCTTGACCCAAACCTGGTAGTTAAAATTCAACCCCTGACCTAGCAACTGATGTTATCTATAGATTCCAGACATTGTATGGAAAGACATTGTGAAACCTCCTGTTCTGTTCTGTTTCACTCTGACCGCTGGTGGCGCTCGCAGCCCCTGTCACGTAACCCCTGGCTTGCTCAATCACGACCCTCTCATGTGGACCCCCTTAGAGTTGTGAGTCCTTTAAAGGGACAGAAGTTGAGCACCTGACGAGCTCGAACTTTAAGAGGCTAGCCTGTCGATGCTCCCAGCTGATTAAAGCCACTCCCTTCACTATCTCCGTGTCTGAGGGGTTTTGTCTGCGGCTTGTCCTGCTACAGATACACCATTTAGCCATAACCAAATATTACTTTACATTTTCTATCAGGAAGATTGAAAAATATTTTATCTTTCTTAATAGTTACTTTTCTTCCTGCTTTCTCTTTCTCACATTGATGCATTCTTTCTTGTAAATGATTATATTCATCCATCAACTCCTTGTTCTTCTCTTGTAGTGAAAGAATCTTCTTTTCACTCTCAGCTTGAAGATTTTTGGCAAAAGCATGAAATTGGTCTTGGATAGTACTGATTGTCTTTTCCTGACTGTTAGCTTTCTTGTGAGCATCATCAAGTTGCTGTCGAAGCAATGTATTTTCACTTTGTAGTTGAGATAATCTCTCCTCTACAGATTCCTGCTTGGCAATGTATTTCTTCAGTTTGTGTTGTTCATTTTGGTACATTTGTTCAGTTTCTTTCTTCTCACAGTGTGTTTGGCTGAGGTCTCTTTGCAAACGTTCCAAAATCAAACTCTTTCTTTTAACAGCATCTCTTGTGTTATGGAGCTGAATTTGTAGGCTGCTGATTTTACTTTCAGCATTAGAAAGTTTTTCAGAAAGAATCTCAGTCTTAGCTTGTAGGTCAGACATATCAACCTTTTTTTTGTCCTGTAAATGAACCCACTCTTGTCTTGTTCTCTGGAAATCAAGTTTTGGGTCTCTTGATGTCTGACTTTGATCACAATCATGTAGAGCAGCAGCCAGACTACAATGATACGATTCCATTTCTATTTCCAGTCTTTCTTGGTTCTGTTTCTCATTTTCCAGTTCAGAATTGAGTATTTTGTTCTCAGCTGTCAGATCGTTCAGCTGTCCACTGTACTGCAGTATTGTTTTTGTTAATTTTTCCTCATTTAGTTTTATAATTTTTTGAGGGTTATCATTCTTTTCTTTCACAACCTCAATGTCTTCAAAATATTTCTTTTCCTTTTGCTGGTTCTGATTATTTACTGTATCTATTTCCAGTCTCAGCAAGGCAATTTCTTCCTGCAACATGCAATTTTCATGCAAGAGATCCTTTTCTTTTTTATGCCTATGAGAAATCTAAGTAAGAAAGGAAACATTTAGTAGCACTCAATAAAATGACATATCATGATTTCCTCCGAAATTAAAGAATAACCTGAACATGTATACAATGAAAAGATTGCCATAAGTGGATATCCAACTGGAAAAAAATATTGAATCGAAACTTCAAACCTCATAGAACATAAATTCCCAAAACTTGCATAAATTTATTTGAAGATAATGAATCCATGAAAGTAAGAAATAAATGACTGGAGCATTTTTAAGCATCTCAGAATTGGAAGACTTTCCCTGAATTACAACAAACTCAAAGGCATAAAATGAAAGATTAATAAATGTGACTACATTAAAAAATTGGCTTTACACTCTAACATCTAACCTATACACCACCCTATAGTAAAAGCTGTAGCTTTGCATATATCTGGACAAAGGAAATTTCCCAACTTTAAGTTCTGTTTTTTTTTTCCTGAGAATATTCTATAGCCATTTTATTTTTCTAACATTTTTATTGTCAGTTATATAAGAATTACATTTATTCATAAATGCTAAATCTAAGCATTATATTAGGTTTGTTTTTTTTTTTTTTTCCGAGACAGGGTCTCCACTCCATCACTCAGGTTAGAGGGCAGTGGCACAATCAAGACTTACCGTAGCCTTGGCCTCCCAGGCTCAGGTGATTCTCCCACTTCAGCCTCCTGGGTAGCTGAACTAGAGGCACACGCCCCCACACCCAGCTAAATTTATTTGTACTCTTTGTAGAGATGGGGTTTCGCCATGCTGCCCAGGCTGGTCTGGAACTCCTGGGCTCAAGTGATCCACCCACCACAGCCTTCCAAAGTGCTAGGATTACAGGCATGAGCCCCTGTGCCTGGCCTTGTACCAAGCACTTATACATACATCACTGAACTCATTTATGTCACAATTCTGAAAGGAGAGGTCAAAAAATATGCAAGCTGCAGGATTTTCCCTAGGTCCTCTTACTTTACTTCTAGTGCTCTTCCACTAAATCACGATTACTTCTGTGTTGTAAATATAGAAATATAGCAATAACTTCTGTTTCCTCTTTATAATGTTTGAAACAGAAATAAGCATGAAACAGGGGAACAAAATACTTACCAATAAATTATCACTAAGTTTATATTATGGCATATCATTGTTTTCAAAGTTCTTTGCACTGATATGAGAGGTTACTTGGAGCAAACTGTTACTCTCCTCAAAAGTAAGGGGAATGGCATCTGAAGTATAGCCTCTGAACTGGCTTTACATTTCATCTTTACTACCAATGGAAATAATAATGTAACCTCTCCATTAATATGTTAGGAAGATGAAATCATGTCTGAAAACTAGAACGTCTGTTGTTAGTAGCAAGGGTTTTGAGATTGTGGAAAGATCATTAATTTCTATGAAAAATAACAAAGGTTTCTCCTTTGGATAAGGCTACTGTGAATGTCACTACTTGACTCTTGCAGAGTTGAATTAAGAACATGACTTTGGGCCAGGCATGGTGGCTCACGCCTGTAATCCCAGCACTTTGGGAGGCCGAGGCGGATGGATCACAAGGTTACGAGATCGAGACCATCCTGTGAATGGCAAAACCCCGTCTCTACTAAAAATACAAAAAATCAGCCAGGCGCGGTGGTGGGCACCTGTAATCCCAGCTACTTGGGAGGCTGAGGTGGGAGGATGGCATGAACCCAGGAGGCGGAGCTTGCAGTGAGCAGAGATTGCGCCACTGCACTCCAGCCTAGGCAACTGAGTGAGACTCCGTCTCAAACAAAAAAAAAGAACATGATTTTATCCAATGGGCCAAAACTGCCAGAACCACTATCACCACCCTTAAATGTGTGTGTGTGTGTGTGTGTGTGTATGTGCATGTGTGGTTCAAAAATCCACTATACTTTCCAAGTTGCATAGAGTTGTTTTTTAAAAATACATTCACATACAAAAATATATTTGAAAATAACGAAAGAAAATACCTCAGAATTAATTTTCTTTTGAGCAATTTCTAGCTCCTTTTGTTTACTCGTCAGAATCTGATCTTGTAATATTCTGGCATTCTGTTCTTCAGAAAGTTGCTTCTGGACATCGTTTCGCTCCTGCACAACCTAGAGATAACATGGAGGTTTTGGTCTAATAGCACTGAAAAAGAAAGTCTAAAAGGTTAATTAAGAGCAGACTTTCTCTTATAAAATGGTTAAAAGGAAGTCGCTTGTTAAAGCACAAGAACTTTTATCCCTCAAGAATTGCTCAAATCTTAATTGCACACATGACAGCTAAATTTGTCAAAGAGAAAAACAGTTCTTAAATATGGGAAGATACAGCATTGTGAAATAAAATTTCTTTCAAAACATTTAACTAGTGTCATTATAGTTTCAAAGCTATTTAGCCTGTATATTAACATAAACAATGTGCAAATGAACATCTATGTTAGTGATTAAACTCAACTTATCATCCATTCTGAAAACATAGACTAAGCATCTACTAGATACCAAGGTTTACAGTAAATAATTTTAACTATAAATGCCATGGTTCATTTTTAAGAGGAGATAACAGTTTTGGTTTGTTTTAAACCTAAATTATATACATGAAGCCAAAAAAATTATAAGTAATATTGATGAAACATAAAGTTAGAAATATGAAGTTTTCACCAAAGATTAATCTACCAGATCCAAGTTTTTTCTTACTGTCTTCAACTCCTTAACGAGTCTTCTCAGTGTCCATTTAAGTAGTTGCTTCGTTTCAACCTCTTTCCCACATTCCTCTTCTTTTAGTCTTAACCGTTCACTATATTTATTATATAACATGACAGCATTTCCTTTCTCCTCTTTTTCTTGTTTTAAGGCAAGTCTGCAGTTAAATATGGATTACATTAAAATGTGTTTTGTTAGAAAATAAAAAAGTTGATTTTGTTATCTGGCTCTTCCCATGTGGGTTTATTATCCTCATAGAAACTCCTATGCTCTTCTTTCCTTTCTAGTTCTCATGCTTTTAATTTCTCACTTCAGTCTCTTCCAAGGGACATATATATTTAAAAGGTAGTGAGGAAAGAAACAGTCCATTACCTGGTAAGTTTCGGTTACTAGTAACCCTGGTAAATATTACGGAAAAGCATATTTGAAATTTTTCAGTAAAGTAACAAGTTGAAGAAAATTACTTCTTTTTCACATGTTATACAAGTTGAAAATTAGTTAATTAGAACAGATCATTTAGAGTTAGTTAATTTAAAAGAAGTTACTGTTTACAAACAAGTTTAGAAATTCACTAGAAATGCATTTTCATCTTTATGAAATATTGTATGTGTAGCCATAAAAATCATTTACAGTGTAAGATAACACCTTCAGATGTCATTCACACAACATGTATCTGCAGATTACTGTAATCCAAGACTAGGCTAAGCTGTCTAATAACTGTTACCCCCATCCTTTTTATGTTTCTCTTTTTGGTAACACTTTCAACTTATCTTCTTGATTCTTACATATTTTATAAGCAATTTTAAAATCTCTTTTTGGAACAAGACAGGATCTAATATTTAATATAAAAGTAAAGGATAATGTGTGTTTCAGCATTGAATTTGGAATTAATTTTTTCTGCATATGAGAGATATGGAATAAACTAATCATCAATTACTTTCCATTTTACTTCTTATTTCATGCATGTTTAGAATAAAACTGGGAAGTCCTAGCCAGAGCAATCAGATAAGAGAAAGAAAGAAAGGGCATCCAAATTGGAAAAGAGAAAGTCAAACTATCTCTGTTTGCCTGTGACATAATCTTTTAGCTTAGAAAACCCTGAAGACTCCTAGATTTGATCAATGAAATCGGTAAAAGTCTCAGGTTACAAAATCAATGTACACAAATCAGTAGCACTAGTAAACATCAAGAATGACCACAGTGAGAATCAAATCAAGAACCTAATCCCTTTTACAATAGCTGCAACAACAAAAAAAACCTAGGAATATACTTAACCAAGGAGGTGAAAGATCTCTACAAGGAGAACTAGAAAGCACTGCTGAAGGAAATAATAGATGACACAAACAAATGGAAATATGCCCTATGTTCATAGATTAGAAGAATCAATACAGTGAAAATGACCATATTAACCAAAGCAATCTACAGATTTGATGCAATTCCTATCGACGTACCACTGTCACTCTTCACAGAATTAGAGAAAATACCCCTAAAACTCACAGGGAATCAAACAAGAGCCTGAATAGTCAAAGCAATCCCAAGTAAAAAAACGAAGCCAGAGGCATCACATTACCAGATTTCAAACCATACAAGGCTAAAGTAACCAAAATAGCGTGGTACTTGTATAAAAGTACATACATAGACCAATGGAATGGAGTAGTGAACCTAGAAATAAAGCCAAATACATATAACCAACTGACCTTTCACAAAGTGTACAAAGACATAAACTGGGCAAAGAACACCCTATTCAATAAATGGTGTTGGGAAAATTGAATAGCCACATGTAGAAGAACGAAACTGGATCCCTATCTCTAACTATATGTAAAAATTAACTCAAGATGGATTAAGCCTAACATGGTGGCTCACATCTGTAATCCTGGTGCTTTGGGAGGCCAAGGCAGGAGAAGGGCTTAATCCCAGGAGTTTGAGACCAGCCTGGGCAACATAGCGGGACCTTATCTCCACCAAAAAAATATATATATACACATATAATATATATATAACATATTATATATTTATATTTTATATAATATATATTTTATATATATATATATATATATTTTTTTTTTTCTTTGAGACAGAGTCTCATTCTTTTGCCCAGGCTGGAGTACAGTGACATGATCTCGGCTCACTGCAACTTCCGCCTCCCGAGTTCAAGCGATACTCTTGCCTCAGCCTCCCGAGTAGCTGGGAATACAGGCATGTGTCACCACACCCAGCTAATTTTGGTTATTTTAGTAGAGACGGGGTTTCATCATGTTGGTCAGGCTGGTCTCGAACTCCTGACCTCGTGATCTGCCCACCTCGGCCTCCCAAACTACTGGGATTACAGATGTGAGCCACCATGCCCGGCCCCCAAAAATACTTTTTTAATTAAAAAAGAGATGGATTAAAAACTTAAATCTGTAACCTGAAACTACAAAAAAATCTGAAAGAAAGCCTAAGAAAAAACTCTTCTGGGCACTGGCCTAGGCAAAGAATTTATGATGAAGACCCCAGAACTAAATGCAACAAAAACAAAAATAAATAAATGGGACCTAATTAAATGAAAGGGTTGGCCTAGCATGGTGGCTCAGACCTATAATCTCAGCACTTTGGGAGGCTGAGGTGGGCGAATCACCTGAGGTCGGGAGTTCGACACCAGCCTAACCAACATGGAGAAACCTTGTCTCTACTAAAAATACAAAACTAGCCGGCGTGGCGGCACGAGCCTTTAATCCCAGCTACTTGGGAGGCTGAGGCAGGAGGATCACTTTAACCCAGGAGGCAGAGGTTGCAGTGAGCTGAGATCATGCCATTGCACTCCAGCCTGGGCAACAAGAGTGAAACTGTCTCAAAAGAAAAAAAAGAAAAGAAAAGAAAAGAAAAGAAAAGTCTTCTGCACAGCAAAAGAAATAATCAGAGTAAACAGACAATGCACAAAATAGGAGAAAATATTTGCAAACTATGCATCTGACAAAGGACAACAAATCAACAAGAAAAATGAAAATAATCCCATCAAAAAGTGCACAAATGACATGGACAGATATTTCTCAAAAGAAGATGCACAAATGGCCAACAAACATATTTAAAAATGCTCAACATCACTAATATTCTGGGAAATGCAAACTAAAACAACAAGGAGCTATAACCTTACTCCAGAATGCTCATTATTAAAAAGTCAAAAAACAATAGATGTTGGTGCAGATGTGGTGAAAAGGGAATGCTTATACACTGCTGGTAGGGATGTAAATTAGTACAACCTCTATGAAAAACAGTGGAGAGGTTTCTCAAAGAACTAAAATAGAGCTACCATTCAATCCAACAATCCTCTACTGGGTATCTACCCAAAGGAAAAGAAATCATTATATCAAGAAGACACCTGCAAATGTATGTCGACTGCAGCACATTTCACAATTGCAAAGATATGGAAGTGTTCCATCAACTGACGAATGGAATAAATAATATGTGGTATGTATATGCTATATATATTCTGGGCTGGGCATGATGGCTCACTCCTTTAATACTAATGATTTGGGAGGCCAAGGCAGAAGGAATGCTTGAGGTCGGGAGTTGGAGATCATCCTGAGCAACATAGTGAGACCCTGTCTCTACAAAACACTTAAAAAGTTAGCCAAGCATGGGAATGTGCACCTGGAGTCCCAGCTACTTAGGACGCTGAGGCAGAGGATGGAGTTCAAGGCTGCAGGGAGGTACGGTCACACCAGTGAACTCCAGCCCCAGGCACAGAGTGAGACCCTGTGTCTACAAATAATAATAATGATAAAAGATGTTCCTTATATCATTAATTATAGATACAAGGTAATTTTCAAACCCAAATTACAATTTGTTAAATGAATAACAAGATTTCATATGGTGGACTTCTATATGGCTATTAAGATTGTAAAGAATATGCATTTATTTATTAGAAGAGTTCACAGTTAACCATTTGTTTTATTATTTCCAAGAATTTCATATTCCACAAAACCAAGGTTTCTCCCCCATTAATCCCAGGAGGTAAGTCAGCAATTACAAAAATTCTGATATATTATCTTTAGTATAAATATTTCTTTAGAACTAGAATATCATACCTCAAACTGTACAGCTGTTTCTCCAATTCAATTTTTTGAAGCTCTAACTGTAATTTTGTCTTTTTTGTTTCAGATAGCTCCTTTTGTAGTACACTGGCCATATTTTCTGTTTGTTTAATTTTTACTGTAAGTTGTTCATAGTCATTATTCTTAAGTTTCAGTAAGTGTTCATATAAACAAAATGTGTCTTGGCTTCTTGATAGGCTAATAGAATCTGTGTCAGGGAGAAAACAAGGTGGAAATAAAATATATGAGTACTTTTTAGGGATAAAGGACTGTGCATTTTAACATTGTCTCCTTCATATATTGAACAAATAGGCACTGAGTGTCTACAGTGTGGCATTCTACTAAGCTCTGCAGATAAAACAGGTAAGACCTCTACTCTCATTTAGCCTTAAGTGTAGTGAGGAACAAAGACAACAAAAGTGACAATTATAAACTCAGACAGATAGATGGTGTAAGAAAACAGAGTTCTATGATCACATAGGAGAATTTGATCTACAGTGGGCCCAGGGAAGATTTCCCTGAGGAAATGAAGGGTGAGAAGGAAGCAGTTAAGCAAAGGGGTAGAAAAGCATTCTAGCCAGTGGACAGCAGGTGCTGAAGCTCTGCTGCAATCTGCTTCTGGCCACGATGGACAGCAAGTACTGATTTACCTTCTTGCCTGAAACAACCAAAAAGAAAACAGACAAAATACATTCTACAATGATTTACCAGGCAGTGAACTTCAGGTAATGAAGACAACGATCCCCGTAAAACAGAAAACAAATGAAATTCATACCAACACTCCAGCTCCCTGCCTTCACAGAGTTTCCAGGCTACCGCACAGAGAGAAAAAACTGACATAGAGTCCACCAGATTCCCTGAGATGAGATGATGAAGCTGAGAGTCTGGTAAAGCCAAGGCAGACAAAGATCACAAAACAGAACACTGGAAAGGAGGCAGAGTACAGGGAAAGAACACTGAGGATCTGCAAAAATACCTCCTGGGTATCTAGCAGAGTAACAAACAGCACATGTGTTTCAGAAAACCGCCCCAGACCAAGGGGGAAAAACATCTAAAAAACACTGGAAAGAAACATGTCTGGTGCTCACAATGTGCCAAAAAGAGTGTCCATTCCCATGAGTGATGCTGGGAAAACTCAGACTTCGCATGACAATGAATAGTCATCACAAAGATCTTGCCTCAGGAGCAGGAAATTCGACCAAATCATAAAAGCAAGATCAGAAAGATTGAGTTATTCATATGGAACTCAACTATATATTAAAATTAAGCTCAAGTAGATAGGCAGAGGCATGGAAGATTTTTTAAAGCAAACTACACTTGTAGAGATTAAATTACAATGTCAAGAATGAAAGCTACAATGGATGGAAGTGAACACAGATTAGACATCACCAAACAGAAGATTCATAAATTTGAGACATCAGTGAACTATAAGAAAACTTCAAGCAGGAATAAGTCCCCAAAGAGGGAAAAAGAGAGACAGAAAAATAAAAAAAGAATGGCCAAAACTTTCTAAATGTAAAGAAAACTATAATCCTACAAATCCAGAAGTATCTGGCTGGGAGAGAGGAAATGAAAGTATACCATTCTAATTTTCTTTTTTAAAAAATTTCAATAGGTTTTTGGGTAACAGGTGGTCCTTGGTTACATGAATAAGTTCTTTAGTGGTGCTTTCTGAGATTTTGGTGCACCCATCACCCAAGCAGCATAAACTGTATCTAATCCATAGTCTTTTATCCTTCACCTCCTCCCCCCACTTTCCCCACAAAGTTCCCAACCTCCATTGTATCATTCTTCTGCCCCTGCATCCTCACAGCATAGTTCCCACTTACAAGTGAGAACAGACAATGTTTGGGTTTTCATTCATAATTTTCTTATGCCATATATGATATGCCATATTTTTGAAGATGAACAGTGATAACTTAAAATCATATACTATACATTGTAGTGCAACCACTAAGATAGAAAAAAATAGTTATTGCTAATAAGCCATAAAAGGAAGATAAAAATAAATCACAAAAATTACTGGACTAATTGAGAAGAAAGCAGAAAAAGAAGAAAAGAGAACAAAGAACTGCAGGGACCAATGGAAATCAAACAGCATGATGACAGACAAACCTAACTGTATCAATAAGCACATTATACATGAAACTGACCTAAAAATCTCAATTAAAATGCAGATTGTCAGACTGGATAAAAATGCAAGAAGCTACTCCATGCTTCCTATAAAAAAAGTACTTTAAATGTAAAACACAAATTGTTCAAAAGGATGGAAAAAGATATATTAGGCTAAGAGTTGACAAAAGAAGCCTGAGAAGAAATGGCTACGTTTATGCCAAAGTAGATTTCACAGGAAAAAACAAAAACAAAAACCAGCTATAAACACTCATTTCCTAATGACTTTAAAAAGTTCAGTTAATCAAGAACATATAATCTTAAATGTTTGTGTACCTAATAACAGCTTCAAAGTATACGAGGTAAAGATCAATAGAAGAAATAGACTAATTCACACGTACAGTCTGAGATTTGAATAGTACTACTCAATAAGTGATAAAACTAGGGAGCAGCAAATCAGCAAGAATGGAGTAAACTTGAACAACACCATGCTTCTCAAGTACCCAGGGAGCACTTACCAAAACAGACCACATTCTAGGTTCTGCAATCAATCTTAATAAAAGAATTAAGTCAGAAGGATTTAAGTTATACAAAGTATGTTCCCTGACCACAAGGCAATAAAATCAGAAATGAGTAACAAAATAGCTCATCAAAATACTCAAATATTTTAAAACAAAGTAACACACATCTAAATAACCCTAGGTCAAAGACATGATGCAAAGAGAAATTAGAGAGTATTTTGAACTGAATGAAAATGAAAATACTACATATCAGGATTTGTTGTACACAGTTAACAGTACTTAAAATTTTTTAGCACTAAATGTCTATATTAGAAGACTCTCAAGTCAATGGTCTTGACTTCCTTAAGAAACTAAAAAAAGAGAAGAAACTAAAGAAGAAGAAGAAGAAATTAAACCCAAAGCAAGCAGAGGAAATGATATAATAAGCGTCTGCTATGGTCTGACATTTGCATCCTCCCAGAACTCGTATGCTGAAACTTAATCACAGAGGTAATGTTATCAGAAGGTGGGGCTTCGTGGAGGTAATTAGCTCATGGGAGCCAAGCCCTCACGAATGGGATTAGTGCCCTTATGTAATAGACTCCAGAGGGCTCACTCACTTATTCTGCCATGTGAGGACAGGATCTATGAACCAGGAATTGGTCCCTCACCAGACACCAAATCTGCCAGCACCTAGATCTTGTACTTTTGTGAAAAATCTATTTCTGTTGTTTATAAGTTACCCAGTCTATAATATTTTGTTATAGTAGGCCAAACAGACCACAACATCAAAGATGAAACCAATAAAACAGAAAAACAATAGGAAAAAATCAGTAAAACCACACACTTTGATGAGGTCAATAAAAGTGATAAAACTCTATTCAGGTTGATCACGAAAAAGAAGATGCAAATTACAATTTCAGAAACATAGCAATATGACATTTTTATAGATTCTACAGATACTAAAATAACAGCAATATAATAAGGTGAGCTTTATGTGACTAAACATGACAGCTTTGATAAAATGGACACTTTCCTTGAAAGACAAAAATTACCAAGGTTCAATCCAGACGGAATAACCTGAACTGTCCTGTATCTATAAAAGAAAATAGAGCATAAGGAAAGCCTTCCTAGAAAGAAAACTCGAAGCCCAGATAGCTATGTTGGTGAATTCTACCAAATATTTAAGAAGTAATATAACAACTTTACACGACCTTTCCCCCACCCTCAAAAAAAAAACAGAGGAGAAATACAACTCATTCTGTCACTCTAGCATTACCCTGAACCAGAATCTGACAATGATATGACAAAAACAGAAAACTCCTTCATGAACATAGATGTAAAAATTTAACCAATTTCTCAAGAAACCAAGATATCCTCCTTTAGGTGAGCGAACAACCTCTGGTACAGCCATGCGATAATGAGCTATCATCTCATGAGAAGACATGAAGGAACCACAAAGGCACATTACCGAGTGAAAGATGCCAGTCTAAAGGCTATACACTGTCTGATACCAACTATATGACATTTTGGAAAAGGCAGAACTATAGATACAGTAAAAAAAGTCAGTGGTTGCCAGGAGTTGGGGAGGGAAGGTGGGAGAAGATGAACAGATGAAGCACAAAGGAGTTTTAAAGCTCTGAAACCACTTTGGATAATACTACAGTGATAAACACATGTCCTCATACCTTTGTCCAAATTCACAGAATGTAAGACACTGAAACTGAACCCTAATATCAACTATGGACTTTGGGTGATTGTGATTATCAATTCAGGATCATCAATGAGATCAAGTGTACCACTCTGGTGAGGATATTGATAATTGTGGAGGCTATGCACGTGTAGGGGCAGGGAGTACAGGGATAATCTCTGTGCCTTACTTTCAGTTTTGCTGTGAAGCTAAAACTAGTCTAAAAAATAGCCTTGGCCGGGCGCAGTGGCTCAAGCCTGTAATCCCAGCACTTTGGGAGGCCGAGATGGGCAGATCACAAGGTCAGGAGATCCAGACCATCCTGGCTAACACGGTGAAATCCCGTCTCTACTAAAAAAATACAAAAAACTAGCCGGGCGAGGTGGCGGGCGCCTGTAGTCCCAGCTACTCAGGAGGCTGAGGCAGGAGAATGGCATAAACCCAGGAGGCGGAGCTTGCAGTGAGCTGAGATCTGGCCACTGCACTCCAGCTTGGGTGACAGAGCGAGACCCTGTGTCAAAAAAAAAAAAAAAAAAAAAAAAAATACCCTTTTAAAACTTTCTAAATAAAATCTTGGCAAATCCAATCCAATGATATATTAGAAGGATAATAAATCATAAACAAGTGGGGTTTATCCCCAAATACAGTGTTGGTTTGACATTAAAACATCAGTTATTCACCACATTAAAAAACTAAAAGAGAAGAACCATATGATCATCTCAGTAGACAGAGGCATTTGATAAAATACAACATTCATTCCTGATTTAAAAATAAAAATCCCTTTCAGTAACCAAAGAATACAAGGGAACATCATCAGCATGATAAAGGGCATCTCTGATAAACCTACAGCTAACATGTGTCACGATGAAAAACTGAATGCTTTCCCTGTAACATCAGGAACGATACAGGAATGTCTCCTTTCGCTATGTCAGTCAGCATTGTACTGAAGCCAGTGCAGTTAGGAAAGAAAAGAAAAGGAAAGAAAAGAAAAGTAAAGGAAAGCTACCTGAGTTAAAAGGAAGACGTAAAACTGTCTTTATTCACAATCATGATCACATAATAGGGATGGGTAAAATCCAACCTGTCGGGCAGCTTGTTATTTTTGCAAATAAAGTTTTATTGGAATGCAGCTGTGTTTTTTAACATACATATTGTCTATGGCTGGTCTCATACTACAATAGCAGAGTTGATTGGCTGTGGCAGAGACCATTTTGTCACAAGTTTAAAATATTTACTATGTTTAGTAAGATAACAGTTTGAAAATGAAAAGGTTTGACTACCTTTGGTGTATGTAGAAAAGCTAACTGAATTGAATCTCAATTTTAAATGTTCATAAGCTACTGAGATTGGAAAAGACAGTTCACCAAAGAAGTTACACAGGTGGTAAATAAGCACATACAGGATGCTCAACATTATTAGTCCTTAGGCTAATGCATATTAAAACCATAATAATATGCATAATACATACCCATCAGAATGGCTAAAATTTCAAAATTAAAAAACAGCAATAATAACAGCTTGTGATGATACAGAACAATAGGAAATGTCATACGCCGCTGGTTGGAATGGAAAATCAATACAAATACTTTGGAAAACAATTTAGCAGTTTCTTAACAAAGAAATACAAAAGGACAGGAAGAGACTTTTTATGGATGATGAACATGTTAACTCTCTTGATTATGGTGATGGTTTCACATGTGCATACGATTGTGTATTTTACATACATGCAGTCTATCATATATCAGTTATACCTCACTGAAGCTATCAACTGCTGGAACAAACATCTAACACACTAGGTGGGACACAGAGACAGAGAAGGGTAAAAATGATGCAGGATAAAGCTAAAGGATTCAGATCTCTAACTTATAGCAATGAGAAGTAGTAGCTGAGTTATAAGCAAAGGAGTAACATGATCAGATCCGAAGTCTTAAAAATACATCATTATGAATGCAGAGTAGACCACGGTTTTAGGAGGTGGGGTATTCGAGAAAACAGTTCTAAGATTCCTAAGATTTCCACAGCATTCCAGGTGGAGAAAAAATGGTAACCTGACACTGGGGGAAGGAATAGGAGAGAAATAGAGTCAATAAAAAGACTGGGAGTGCCACTGACAATGAGAAAAGTACGGTGGAGTTAACATAGCTCTTTGGTGTAGAGTATAAGTTAGTTCTCTTTCTATTTTAACACTGAGCATATTTCTGAGATGAGCTTCACTATCACACATCAGTTCTCAGCAATGTATACACACATTACTACAGGAGACATCAAAAGGCCTTGCATTTATGCAATGGTCCTACCTTTACGCTCCATTCCAAGTTGTTCAATCAGCAACAAAAAATTCTCATAAGTAAAGTGAGATAACTCACAATCCTCTGAGGCCGTTTCAGATGGCCCCACTGAGTCAGCAAAGTCAGCCTCATGATGTACTTGGTTTTTGACCTATAAGATAAATAACACTGTTTCAAAATGTCCTCAAAAGATTTATAGCATATGCTAAATGTACAGAAGTGGTATTTCTCCATTTTTTTTTAATGAGCAAAAACACAGGTACTTCTTTAAAGCAACAGATTGTTCTTAAAAGGTACTGTTATCAACAGCTACTGTTTCTTAATCACTTTTTCTAAGCAAACAGCTTTAGAACAAAACATCCTGTCTTTTTTATTTTACCTTTTAGAATGTGTTTTTTTTTTCAACATAATATTTTAGATCATTTACTTTTTTACAATACCTTGTTCTTTTCATTAGATGTTTTATCTACAGGCCTGAAAAAAGAAAAAATTCCTTTTAGAAAAATAGCAAAGATGTAAAATACAAAGAATAATACTATTGTTTTATCATATAAAATATCTGCATTTGTATTACTTCTATTCATCAAGTGTACAGGTAAATTTTTTTACAGGTAATGTAAAATACAGCAATCTTCTAAAACAGACATTAAACTATAAACAGAAACAGCAACATTAAGGGATAAAGAAATTTACTACTAATAATATAATTACAAAGAATTAAATTTAGGTCAAGATTTCTGATAGTAAAACCAAAAGAAAAAAATGTGTTACTTGCATTATGTGATAAAAATAAATATACCAGGGTCTTCTCATTGTTGTCCTTTTCAATAAAAACAAGCTTTTATGGGCACTAAAACCTATTTGGAAAATATTACTCACATTCTTATATAAGGGAAACCCCTTTTTAATGATGATATTAGTTAGCTTTTTCTTGACTTACTATGCAGGTACTATGCATCATTCTGAGCACTGTCCATGGGTCAAACTCATATAATCCTCATAACAATTCTGTGAGGTCAGTAACACATTAAGTATTTTATAAAGAAAGAAAATAGGCACAGAAGGGCCATGTGACTTTCCTCAGCCCATACAGCTGAGGAAAGTCAGTAGCAGACCCAGCACTCAAACCCAACAACTCTGCCCCAAAAACATATGTTTCATGATATGCTGTGAAGGTAACATTTATTTTCAAGTGTTTTAAAGAGAGACGATAGCAGATGAAACCACATTGTCATTCCATTTCTGACTACAACTATAAAAAATAATTTCAGAATCTTGCAGTCTTTTTCTAATATAACAACTTCATACAGAGGCAAGTTCAGAAACCTACTTTCAAAAAACTAAAAAGTATTTTTAATGAAATCCAACAACAGGTGTTCATTCATGTATTCACCCATTCATTCATCCATTCAACAAATAAATACTCACTGAGCACACAATACATGCTGATGGCAATGTTGGTCCAGAGGAACATGGTTTTGATACTTTAGAACTTTATAATCCATTGTGGGTCAACTTGATTAAATATTTTTTTAAAAAACTTTATAGGCCAGGCACAATGGCTCACGCCTGTAATCCCAGCACTTTGGGAGGCTGAGGCGGGTGGACCATGAGGTCAGGAGTTCAAGATCAGCCTGGCCAAGATGGTGAAACCTCGTCTCTACTAAAAATACAAAAATTAGCCAGGCGCGGTGGCAGGCATCTGTAATCCTAGCTACTCAGGAGACTGAGGCAGGAGAATTGCTTGAACCTGGAAGGCAGAGGTTGCAGTGAGCCGAGATCGCACCATTGCACTCTAGCCTGGGTGACAGAGCAAGACTCTGTCTCAACAACAACAACAACAACAAACCCAAAAAACAACTTTATAATCCAGAAGTAATTATCTGTGATAGATTGTCAACAGCAAGCTTTTCTAAAGTACTTGAACAAAACCTTCCCCTTCTCCTCAGAATCTAAACAACTACAAAGTTGATACACCTGACATTTTAGAGTACCTTAGCAGATCATACCTATTCATCAAGGGATGTTTAAATTCTATTCAGTATGGCCTAAGTGTTTGCATGTTTATTATCTCACAATTTAAAATAATCTGCATATGACAGTTTAAATTTCTGTCACCATTTATATGTTCAGTTACACTAATATTTACATTTCTGAACCAATGCTGAAGGAATAAACTCTTACCATAAAACTCTACATGAATAAATACTCTAAGGACAATTAGTTTGCTAAAAATCTATAAAAGATAATGAATCAAGTTTTCAAACACTTAGACATACAAAATTAAATCTCATAAACATGTTCTTCTTGTCCATATCGTTCCCAGCAGCATACAAATACACTCCAAAAGCTTCTATTTTAAAATAAAAAAGAAAGAAAATTTCCTTGAATCCCACATTCTTCTTCAGTTATCACTCATTTCTCTATTGCCTTTCCCAATAATGGTTCCCTCAAAGGGTGTCTATGCTTATCCACTATAGTCAGGGTTCCATGGCAATTATTTATTCAAACTGCTCCTTGTCAAAGTCACCAGCCCTCATCATAATTGGTCTTTCAGCATTGATATAGTTGAGTATTCTCTAGCTTTGGCAGACTACACTATTCTATTTCCAGGAAAAATAATGACTGCCAATGTTCCTTCTCAGAGAAATAAAGAACTTATACATTTTAACTTATTTCATCCTCATCTATTTCACTTAAACTGCTGTCATCATCTCCTTGTAGCAGACCATGAGTTACTAAATTAGCCTTCTCAAACACTGGTGTAATCACAGACTATTTTGAGGTCCATTTTTTATTTTCATTTTTCTTTACTTCCTTGATATGTAACACAGTACCAGAATTTAAAAAAATATATAAAAAGCCAATGTTTTATGATAATTATACTGATAATGAATAAAAAAACAATTTTGTAAAATTCCAACTCTTCCCCATCTCAATTCATTAATTTAAAAAACACAGTTGGGGGGCACACCCAAGATGGCCGAATAGGAACAGCTCCAGCCTCCAGCTCCCAGCGTGAGTGACACAGAAGACGGATGATTTCTGCATTTTCAACTGAGGTACTGGGTTCATCTCACTGAGGAGTGCTGGACATTCGGTGCTGGTCAGCTGGTGCAGCCCAAGCAGTGAGAGCTGAAGCAGGGTGAGGCATCGCCTCACCTGGGAAGCACAAAGCAGAAGGGAATCCCTTTTCCTAGCCAAGGGAAACTGAGACACACAACACCTGGAAAATCGGGTAACTCACACTCTAATACTGTGCTTTACCAAGGGTCTTAGCAAACGGCACACCAGGAGATTATATCCCACACCTTGCCCGGAGGTTCCCATGTCCACAGAGCCTCCCTCATTGCTAGCACAGCAGTCTGAGATCTAACTGAAAGGGGGCAGCGAGGCTGGGGGAGGGGTGCCCGCCATTGCTGAGGCTTAAGTGGGTAAACAAAGCCACCAGGAAGCTCGAATTAGGGGGAGCCCACCGCAGCTCAAAGAGGCTGGCCTGCCTCTGTAGACTCCTCCTCTGGGGACAGGGCATAGCTAAACAAAAAGCAGCAGAAACTTCAGCAGAGGTAAATGCCCCTGTCTGATAGCTTTGAAGAGAGCAGTGGATCTCCCAGCACGGAGGTTGAGATCTGAGAATGGACAGACTGCCTGCTCAAGTGGGTCCCTGACCCCTGAGTAGCCTAACTGGGAGACATCCCCCACTAGGTGCAGACCAACACCTCACACCTCACACGGCGTGGTACATGACTGAGATGAAGCTTCCAGAGTAAGAATCAGACAGCAACACTCGCTGTGCAGCAATATTCTATCTTCTGCAGCCTCCGCAGCTGATACCCTGGAAAACAGGGTCTAGAGTGGACTTCAAGCAAACTCCAACAGACCTACAGCTGAGGGTCCTGACTGTTAGAAGGAAAACTAACAAACAGAAAGGAAACCCACACCAAAACCCCATCAGTACCTCACCATCATCAAAGACCAAAGGCAGATAAAACCACAAAGATGGGGAAAAAGCAGTGCAGAAGAGCTGGAAATTCAAAAATTCAGTGTCCCCCTCCAAAGGAACGCAGCTCATCGCCAGCAATGGAACAAAGCTGGATGGAGAATGACTTTGACGAGTTGAGAGAAGAAGGCTTCAGTCAATCAAACTTCTAAGAGCTAAAGGAGGAACTACGTAACCAGCACAAAGAAACTAAAAACCTTGAAAAAAGAATAGATTAATGGATATCTAGAATAATCAATGCAGAGAAGACCTTAAAAGAACTAATAGAGATGAAACCATAACACAAGAACTATGTGACAAATGCACAAGCTTCAGTAACTGATTCAATCAACTGGAAGAAAGAGTATCAGCGATTGAAGATCAAATGAATGAAATGAAACGAGAAGAGAAGTGTGGAGAAAGAAATGAACAAAGCCTCCAAGAAGTATGGGATTATGTGAAAAGACCAAATCTACGTCTGATTGGTGTGCCTGAAAGTGACGGGGAAAATGGAACCAAGTTGGAAAACACTCTGCAGGATATCATCCAGGAGAACTTCCCCAACCTAGTAAGGCAGGCCAACATCCAAATTCAGGAAATACAGAGAACGCCACAAAATTACTCCTCGAGAAGAGCAACTCCAAGACACATAATTGTCAGATTCACCAAAGTTGAAATGAAGGAAAAGATGTTAAGGGCAGCCAGAGAGAAAGGTCAGGCTACACACAAAGGGAAGCCCATCAGACTAACAGCAGATCTCTTGGCAGAAACTCTCCAAGCCAGAAGAGTGTGGGGGCCAATATTCAACATTCTTAAAGAAAAGAATTTTCAACCTAGAATTTCATATCCAGCCAAACTAAGTTTCATAAGTGAAGGAGAAATAAAATCCCTTACAGACAAGCAAATGCTTAGAGATTTTGTCACCACCAGGCCCGGTCTACAAGAGATCCTGAAGGAAGCACTAAACATGGAAAGGAACAACAGGTACCAGCCATTGCAAAAACATGTCAAAATGTAAAGTCCATCGATGCTAGGAAGAAACTGCATCAACCAGCAAGCAAAATAACCGTCTGATATCATAATGACAGGATCAAGTTCACACATAACAATGTTAACCTTAAATGTAAATGGACTAAATGGTCCAATTAAAAGACACACACTGGCAAATTGGATAAAGAGTCAAGACCCATCAGTGTGCTGTATTCAGGAGACCCATCTCACATGCAGAGACACACATAGGCTCAAAATAAAGGGATGGAGGAAGATCTACCAAGCAAATGGAAAACAAAAAAAATCAGGGGTTGCAATCCTTGTCTCTGATAAAACAGACTTTAAACCATCAAAGATCAAAAGAGACAAAGAAGGCCATTATGTAATGGTAAAGGGATCAATTCATCAGGAAGAGCTAATATCCTAAATATATATGCACCCAATAGAGGAGCACCCAGATTCATAAAGCAAGTACTTAAGAGACCTACAAAGAGACTTAGACTCC